TTCCCTTCTTTTTTTTTTTTTTTTTGGCCAAAGTTAGGAAGGGGGATGGGGGAAATTCAACACGCTGGTATCATAGGAGCTTGAACCCAACACCACTTGGGAGCACACCAAAAGCTCAGCCAAATCTAACTAACACCCCATTGGTATATGCTCTTACAAGCTCCTTGTAGTCGTCATTGTTTGGTTTTATTTTTTGGGTTAAAGAGGAAGAAGAAGGAGAAAGGAGATTAGGGAGTGATATCCACATATTTTCCCTTCACTCTTCTTCTTATTGGCTACAAACAACAACAAAATTTCTTTCAAAGCTCTGAACAAAATGAAAAAGGGTTTTATGCGGTTTTGACCACAAGTTGGAGAGAATTGTAAAATCTTGATGAAGGCCAGTCTAAGGAACCAGGTGAAGCATCAACTGATGAGTATGATACACATGACATTCTTATTGTATGTGGAGAAGAGAATGAAGAAGTTATTAAAGTGAGTGGCAAGATCAAAAGAAGAGCTCCAAAATTTAAGCAATACAACATGGATCATGACTTGAGAGGGCCCAAATTTTGTTTAAGGCTTGAATTACCAACCATAAAAGAATGCCACTAGACCTTTGAGGTTTCTAAAGAATGATCCCCATAGGTTAAGAGTTAGATGTGATGCTGAAGCTAACGATGGCCTTTTTCATTGGGATGAAGAAATTTGTGCCTAATCACACTTATGTTAGAAAGGAACAAGAAGATTTGCAACATCAAGTTGGTTAGCTACAAGGTTTGAAGAGGAGCTTAGGACTAATCCTAAGATGTCAAGCACAGATTTTCATGGCATTGGTGAGAAAGAATTACAGTATTGACGTCACTAAGGATTAGGTCTATAAAGCTAAGCAAATGTCAGCTGAAAAGATACAAGTCATAATTGAGGAACAATATGCAAAGCTTTAGGACTACTACGAGAAGCTTAAGAGATAGACAAGCTGGGAGGTTGCAGGCTAATCAAACCTCCTGTGTACCACAAACAAGTTGGGAGGCCTACGAAATCTAGAGTGAGAGAGTTAGATGAGATCCTAAGATGTGCAACTAGATTGAAGAGGTATGTCATAATCAAACACTGTAGAAGATGTGACTAAGAAGTTCACAATGCTACTAATTGTCGTCGAGATGAGAAAGGTACTAGTAATAATGCACAAAGGGCAAGGCAAAAGAAGGTCACAACTTACAAATAGCTAAGCTCCTAAGGCAAAAATAGCCAAGTTGCATGCTCCCAAGCTACTACTAGGCCAGTGAAAAGGGCAAAGCTACAAGCAAGTTATGTTCTTTTATAATCACATTCTCATGATATGTTAATAAAATGACTGCTAATCATGGTATGACATTATGTTTGTTTTATGTGATCATTTAATGCAGGTTGTTAGAGGAGGATTGAGAGGCAAAGGCACAAGTTAATTTAGAGGCAGAGGCATCACTACTCAAGATATTGGTGGAGGATTTAGAGGCAAAGACACAACTCAAAATTCTGTTGGGGGGAGAGAAACTCCTCCAAATGCTTGTAGAGGAATCACAACAGGCTGTGTATATCTATGCAGGGGAATCACAAACTTAGTTAGTTGTAACCATTACAGCAATAAGTTATAAATCTCCAGCAAAGAGGGCAAGGCCTTAGAGACAGTCCCTATGAAATTTTGCAAATACAAACATACTTTAACTGCATTAACTTCAAATACATTTCATACTGCTCTAAACTAGCAAACCATAGACAAATTGAAGCATTTCATTACATTAGTTCCAATTCGGGATTTTTCCCAACCCTACTTTTTGCCCTAATGGTTCTTTTTGGTTCTCTTAAAAGATGAGAAGGGAAGTGACGAGCTTATGATTTTGTTACTAAGAATCTGGGGCTCTGAAATGAGGGCCAAATGGAGGGAAGTGACGAGCTTCGAACGTGAATTGATGAAACTATACCCAATAGAAAAATTTATTGTCGGTGTAAGGACAAGGGACTCTCATATGAAAGATTAATAAAGTTACCGACAAACAAATATAAATAGAATAGCTTCAAAGTCTTTTAAGTTTTCAAACAGTAAATAGTTTGTTTGTTTATCTTTGAAAACTATTTTGTACCAGTGATCGAATTCAATATCGAATATATATATATATATATATAACACTAATAATTTTGTTGCTTTTATATGACATAGAATACGCAGAATAAAAATCAAGTATATCATAACCTAGAAAAATCAAACGAAGGATCGTGTCTAGAAATAACGTCAGTCTTAGTTATAAAGTGTTTTGAAGTCTTGAGAGTTTTTTTTATGCTCTCTTTTCACATTAGAGGAGGTTCTCTTAATATTTGTATAGATAAATACAACTACAGGACTATAATGGATGAATCTTGATCTTAGTATCATTAATAGTCATGAAGGATGCTACAAAAATTTTAAACTTGTGATGCTAATTACAATGAGAGTGTTGTAGAAGTTTTTTATTCACTTTAATTACTAATTCAAGCATTACAAGCAAGATAGATCCTAAAGGACTATGTCTCAAATTCTATAATTTTTAAATTTGTACTATGAGTCTTAAGAAAATAAGGAAACAAATGATTAAATGAATGATTTTATCGCTGATGATTATTTGGTCTAGTGACACCTAGCCTCTTCTTTTGTCAGAGAATGTTAGAGTTGCTCAAACAAACATTCAAATCATAACACCCTTCACAGTGAGCATTCAAAATTGACTTGGCATCACACCACAAAATTCACCTTAATTGTAAGGATTATTTTGCCCTTGTTTTTTAATCTAAGACAATATAATATCAATTTTATTATATAACTAAGGGAAAATAATAGAGAGGGTGAGAAGTAGAAAAAGGCAATGAATCAAAACTTGTGTCCTTGTTTACCTTTGGTAACCACTATTTATGGTCTAAATAAATAGTAATAGAGTTGCTTAAAAAAGCATTCAAATCATAACACACGTCAGAGTGAACAGTCAAGTCTAACTTGGCATCACAAACCAACACTACAAAATCTACCTTCATTATCAGGATTAATATATGTTTTTTAATCTAAGACAATATAATATCAATCATATTATTTAACTATGGGCAAATGGTAGAGAGGGTGAGAAGTAGATAAAGATAATGAAATTTGCTATCAAAACTTCTGTAGAAATTTTTTTGGATGCTCCCCCTGTTAGATTTAAAGAGACGGGTCAGTGGCCCATTACTAACAACATCGATATTGTCCATAACTTAACCATCTACAAAGTTGGTGTTATTAGTAGTAGAACCATTCTGATGTGGGACTCATATTCTTCAATATGCCCCATCACGTGGGATCACCACATTGTAGGCCACACTTGGAGCAAAGTCCACATCGAAGTCAAACATTCAAGCCAACATGTGAGCACCACGTATTGGATAAGGGTAAACATTCAAGCCCAACATGTGAACACCACATGTTGGGTAAAGGATAAGAGTAAAGGGCCAGTAATTCGGGCCAATCAAGTAACCTGCTTTAATACCATGTTAAATTCAGAGAGACGGGCTAGTATCCTACTACTAACAACATAGATATTATCAACAACTTAATCACCTATAAAGCCCAATAGGTGTGTGATTTTATCACAAAAGGTGTCGGTATTATTAGTAGTAGAACCATTCATCATATTTTGTATTTTATTTAGTCAAATTTTTTATGTGGGACTCATATTCTTCAACCTCCCATAATGGGAGGACACTTCAATTATTTGATAACCACAACACAAACGTCATTGATATCACACATGCTTTCTGCACAATGCGCTTTGGTAATTCTTGTATAAAAATTGCTCATCATTCAAAATATATGTTTGTCGTTATTCATTTGTATCCCTTTATGAGGATAAGAGAATTGAAATATTACATGGAATAATCAATCATTCATACAATTTCCTGTATGCTATAAAAGAAATTCATAAGACTTTTCAAGGATCCTAAATATTCCAACGTACATAAGTTTGAAATGTTGCAACGATATTGAACTTGAATTCGTATTCAGAATTTAATCAAAGTACTCATTGAGAAAATTTTGATAACATTCATTTCAAGAAAATACCTCAATTGAAAGCTATTGAAATTCTTAGAGATTTTCTTTAAGTAATTTATATATTTTATGATACTTTACATCTCTTTGATTTGTTCTTATGTATTCCTTGATAAACCGCTTACGGCAATATCCTTCAAACATTTCATAATTTTTAATTATTTTCATATAGATGTAAGTCTCCGTAAATATTGAAAGCTATGGATATAGATATTTTTATAGTCATCGGAGACACATTCCTGTTTAGAGGCTTTCATTGTTTTCTAATGAACTTTTTTTGTCTCTGATCATCATCTCCTTTGAGATCAATTAAAATAGAGAATGAATATTTCATAGCATTAATGGGGCCGTAAGGGCCTTTCAACCTAACCTACCGAATTTCTCAGGCCACCCAACTTCCCCAACCCATCATCCTTTCTCACAGCTTCAACGTAGCCTCCACCCAACCCAACCCAACCCAACCCCACATAGCAACCTAGCCCACTAGATCGGACCTACTCCGCCCCATCCTTCAAAGAGAGAGATTTCCAATTGACAATTATATGGGCGGTGGTGGGTTGTGGCTTTTGTGACTGAGATCGGCGAGACGACGGCAGCTCCCTTGGAGTTAATAGAACAGCCAGAGCCAGCACCAATAAAAAAAAGAAGAAAAAACCAGACAGCAACAGAAACTAAACAAAAAATGGAATCAAAATCCCATAGTTGATTTTAGAGTGGAAAATGGTCGAATACACAGAGAGAGAGAGAGAGAGAGAGAGAGAGAGAGAGAGGTAATTTCGTTCTCTCTCATTAGATTAGTACATTCTAATAAGCTCCCCCAGACTGTTTGGATATATGGATTCAGATCCAATCTGGAACCTGACATAGAATGGCATATAAGAAAATAATAATTGTAAAAGATTAACCAAAGGACAAAATGATATACAAGATATGCACAGAAGTTTCAGGCAGCCATTTCCCAGATTGTTCTACTAAATATTTGCAGTGATGATGACTACAGGTTTCCACTTACATTATATTCACCCCAATTCCCAGATCCATTATTGGCAAAACCATATTACACAGATCTAATGAAAATTGTCAACGCCAACTACTATGAAAATTGTACATTTAAATAGTAAACACCGATATGCTAACATAATTAACAACACTAAACACAGCTGATTACAACCAATTCACACACCGATCCCGCTAGTCTTATTCCTTCCAACAATCACAAAATGAGCCATCTTTGACACCGGTGCAGTGAAACCACTTTGAAATGATTTGACCGTAACAAAAGCAAAATAGTTGCAGCCTCACAATGTAGCTCCATATGTACAGATTTAAAACAAGAAGCACCTCGACAGGAAATGCCATGAAAGTTATTTTCCGTGGAACATTTAAGTTTTAAGCATCAACAGCTTGTGAGACTGATTTTGTGGGATTTGAGTCCCCTCTTCCACTGGGTTTTGATCTAGTCTTGATGGGCTTCTGAGAACCGGGCGTCCCTCTGACATTAGATCTAATAGGATGTCTGGAAGTTTGGGAACCAAGACCTCCCCCTGATCAAACCAAATAAACAAACAAATAAATATTGAGCAGCATAATTACTGCTGGTTTCCTGAAAGATCGGAAATAGACATCATAGCGCATTGTTTGAATTACAATGCAGCATTTAAGACAAGTTACTTGGGGGACATGACAGCTCTAGGATGCTACCTGCTTATTCTACAAGCATATACACCTATCTGAAGGCATGCTCATTTTCAGAGAATGAGGTCAAAACCCGACAGTAACTTCCGAAAGTTGTAATAAAGAAATGCCTGAATGCGTTCCTAATTCGCATAGAGGAGTTCAAGGCATCTTTCCAAGTATAGAAATTTAGGTGGGAGAATGCCCACACACACACACACACACACACACACACACATATATATATAGAGAGAGAGAGAGACTCACCGCTGTTAGGCAGAGACAGCCGTTTCTTTGCTTGTTTATCTGATTCTGTGGATCTCTCTTTTGGATTACTATGGGATCTTGAAGTAATACCAGGTTTTGAATTTCCTTCTTCAACTGGATCTTCCAAATATGGCTTGGGCTTTGGCTTGCCCATTTGGGTAGTGGATGCTTCCAACAAGCCTGCTGACTTACTAGGTGAAGAATCACAGCCATCGGAATTAAAGGGACCAACCTTTTGACTTGAAAGATTTGATTGAATATTTGAAGAAATGGGCCTCTTGCCAGCAGATTTTAACTGGGATATACTGCCATTCTTACCCTCAGCGGATTCATTCTCATGCACCATTACTCCATCCCTAAGATTAATATCTAGAAAGCGGTTCTCCCAGGGACGGACAGCCATCCATCTTTCCAACCAGTTCCAACCCCAGCTGCTTTTATCTGGTTCGAACCCAGAGGGAACTGGCTGCTGTCTTGATCCAGCTTGCCACTACAGAAAACGAATATGTTATGTGTACGTCCATGGAGGTGAACGCTTCTAACAACTCATTATAGGACAACAAATAAAAGATTAATGCAGCCGACCTGGGACAATCCGTGTGTGCACGAGTGCTAAATTTCCATAAATAACAATACAAAAGGCATCAATCACATCAAAATGTTTTTTAAAAATGTAAATTTTGCTCCTTCACCCTTAACAAAGGTCAATAGGAAAGTAGAGGTATGACCTCAATTTTTATGTTTCTGTATACAATTTTACAAAAATGGGTCATATTTTAATGACAAAGTGCTCTTTGCATGTTGGAGTACCCAGTACGTTTAGTATATGCTTTTTGAAAATCTTCTGACACATTTTTGTAAGTATCATTGATAAAGTGTGAGAAATCTTGTTCATAATTTTTTTTAAAGAGAAACATAATATTATTAAAGTAGGAAAGCTAATTACAAAGAGTTGATAAGGAACACTATTACTTCTACCTGAAAACTTATCTGAAAAGAAATCTAAGCATCCAGGGCTGCAATGCCTATTAAGAGTGCATTTGATGGCTAATGTACACTTCAATTTAAGGGAATAAAAATAAGGCTTTAAAAATCCTCACATAAATGCCTCTGAGTTAGTTTTATAAAATTCAGTTGGGTGTGTAATTCAGAGACTACAGAACGTGACAAGATTGTCAAATGACATTGAATTCAAAAGTAACTGGCTCCATATCAAACAAATTCTATTAATTGAACCTTCTGTTTGAAACCAAAGACCTTGCAAATGATGAATTCATTTAAACTGAACTGGATTCCTTTCTTCGGTTCCAAGCACAGTGATTACTATTTTATTTATCATAATAACGAATTATCATTTTTATAATAACAAGATACCATATTAAAACTCGGAATCCTAAACTGAAGCCACTATTTTCCCACCCCAGACTGTTATGTTTCTACTCGGAATCCTTCCATTTTTGTTTGTATTTGTATTTCATTTCCTTTCTAAATTTTGGTCAGTATCTCCTCTTTCTTTTCAATCTTCCTTTTATTGCAATTCACAATCAAATTCAGCAACAAAAGAAAAAAAATGCTGCTTCATAAAACTCAACCGAGCAGTTAACATGTGTCACCTGATGAGCTAGAGCATATGCCATGGCTCTCTCACGCTTAGCTGCAGCCTCCTGCCTCTTCAAGAGCTTGGCTTGAATTTCTTGAACAGATCCTACACTGTCACACCATCCTTCCTGCAACAGTTGGAATAAGTAGCCGTCAACAAGCCTACACAGATCTAGGATGCTAACCAGAAACAAGAATGGAAGAGGTTGATGGATGTACATCTACAAGAGCTTATATCAAGCATAACGGCATTTGATAAGCAAGGGCAGCGATATTGCAGAATTATCTGTACATCATTAATATGCAAAATTATCTCCATCTTTTTTCTTTCTTCTTTTTTGTTTGAGAAGAGATATACTTTTATTGAACAGAAAGTATAAATTCATCACTCCAAGGAGTACACCACATACAACAAAAGGAAATATAGTAATACCACAAATCCAAAATGTCAAAAAATTTAACCAACTGCTTTCCTATCCCGAAGTATATCGGACAGACACCCTGAAGTCAGTCGAAACAGATGCCCCACATAGAAAACAAAAACCTAACCCTACCTCATAATTCCCCAAGTTCAACATACAAAGCAGCCTCAAAAGATTATTGCCTTTTTCCGACTTCCATAAACCTTATGCACTTTGTTTAACAATGAGAAACAGCTCGGTGGAATTACCCAGCTGGATCTTGATTTGTGTACATTCTAATTCTCCATGTTTTAGTTGTACCATTCTTTACTTGAGATTAGATTATATACTGTCGAGTAATTATAACGCTGTCATCTTGATTTTCTCTTCTCTCCTTCTAATGCTGTCATCTAGATTTTCTCTTGTAATTCAAATGTTCTTAATTGTTGTCACTCTTCTATTTTCACCTTTTGATAATTTCTAATTGCTAAATACCATCCTACATATCCCACCCTCCTATATCTCATCCCTAATCCTTTCTCAACATTCATGCAACCCGAGTTGGTCCCAAAACCTGAAAGTAGGTTAGTTAGAGGTTATATACTTCAAAGAAACCCTAGGTCCTAGGACAACACTGCCCTTGTCAGCACCCCGGGATGGGGTCCTACCATGGAAGACAGGTGTCAGGCCAAGATGGGGTGACACTATGGAAGGCAGGTGGCGAATTCCCAGATGGGCGATGCCATTCAAAGTTGAAAAGGAATCTAAAAGAAGAAAATTAGGTTAGGTTTAGAATTTTCAAAATTGTGGTAGGATGGGAAAAAGGAGGTAGGTGGTTGGGTAGGGTTGAAAATCAGGGTGAGGATAGTGCTAGTCAAGGAAACAACAAAAGCGAGAGAGAGAGAGAGAGAGATGCTATTCTACATGTGATGATTAAATTAAGATGCATTTTTTAATGGCAGCCTAAATGCCTTGAGATTTCTCTAATCACCACCCAGCTTCTTTTGCATTTATTTTCCGACACCTAGCTCTTTTGCAATGTTCTCAGTGTTTCAGGGGGCGGAAAGGAAAATTCGAAAAATCTGGGTGCTATGAAGGAATTTGGCTCCCACATGGGGGTTTCATATTTTCCTATCAAATTAAAAATCAGAAATTTAGAGAAAGCATATAAGTAAAGATACCAGCTGAACATGGTATATTGTGTATGTAATTAAAGCAGATAAAGGTACTAATACTTGCTTCTATTTCTCGAACATGAGCCTCATTTGCAAGTTGTTGCTGAAGTCTTTGTTGAGCCGTTTGACTTTCCAATGCAATGCGAACACGCCTTGCTCGCACTCGAGCTTGAACTCTAACTAAAGCTTGCATACAGCGAAGAGTTATTGCAGCTTGTTTTCTCACAGCATGGCCTCTGACTAGGGCTTGAAGTCTTACCAATCCTTTTAAAGCTCGAAGAGCTCTTCTAGCCTGACATAAATCACCAAAATATTATAATCTGATCACAGTTTAAAAATTAAAAAAGGAATCAATAACTCAAACTATATGGCAGGCATAAAATGCGGCTACTGTCAGCAAAACACAAACTTCATGAAGATGTACTATATTCCAGGCAGACCGCAGAACAGAAAGATAATTAGAAACTATTTAGGTAATGTTATTAATATTATGCTAAAGAAACAAAATACAACAGGAGATGGACAAGCAATTCCACCTAGGACAAGCCAATACAAAGTATAAACACAACTAGCAACCAGCATTCCATGCAAAACTCACGCCCAACCGACATGAGTAACACTATAAGGAAAGCCCTAAAAGGTTTAGACGACAACACCCTAAGAGAAGCAAGAAATCTAATTCTATCCCTAATAAAATACATCTCCTTTACATTTCCTGTTACTCAAACAAGTTGTTCATCATCATTTGCCTCTATCTACTATGGAGAGTGTAATGATATTAATAAAAAATACTTATTCAAATTATTCCTTACAAATTATTGTCTTATTCATTCCATCCCTACCTGCTATGATATTTACAACAGTTATTTTACCATTCACTGCCTCCTGTGATTATTCTTCATGCAATCCAAAAGATCTTACTTAATAATAAATTTTCCCTGCATGCATTACTGATTTTAATTCACTCCAATCATAGTGAGACTGTGAGAGGTGGCATTGATTGTTTCTCAGTTTATAAGCCTTTCTTGCTAAAAGGTAAATGATTTTTTAAGGCAATAAGATGATGAAAAGTATTAAACATAGCTAAAATTTGAGAGATGAAAAAGACACACAAAAGAGAGGTATCCCAAAGAGGTTTGGGAACTTTTTCCCCTTTCTTTTGACAGCATATACGAAAGAGGTTCTGTATGATTCAATAATAAGTGAAAAAAGAGAGCATAAAGGAAAGAGGTTGCTTGATTATCATGAGCGTATATCTTACATAAAAATTTATTTGCCACTTTCATCTGATAGAGGATAAATATTCCAGACATTCTTTTTTTTTTTCTTTTTTTTTTTTTTTAAAATTTATGTTTTTCTTTTAATTAGCTACGGGATTCACAATAAGCAGATGCTCCCTTAATCTCAAAATATATTTCTCGCTTCTCGCTTCCCTCTTCTATCTGTCATATGGGACCCCTAATGTAGCATGTGATTGCAGAAACTATATAACAGATGTGGAAATTTCGAATTTTATCACTCGACCAATAACATGTTATGCAATTCCAAGTTCTTTTTGTCTCTTGTCCATAAACGTGTGCATGCATGCAGACAAAATCCTCAAAACCCTCATTATCTATGTTAAATTAATATTTACTGCTACATAATAATTAGAAGAATCTTAAATCCAGTATCACAATAACTTAAAAGCTTGAATGTCAAAGTTGCAGCATAGAGACATCTAGAAAGAGGAATCTGAATATATATCCATTTGAAAAAGCCAACACTTGATCAAGTAACCAATACAACATTATGCTTTGCTGACTAAGTGAAAATATGATGAGAAAATTTAATACCAGAAACCCACGAAAGGCTGTTTGGATGCGTGTGGCAGCCCATTGTTCTCTCACATTCCGCTCACTTTGTACATCATGTACTTGAAGTGAACCAGAAGGTGAACCCACAGTATCTATGTTTAATTGAGTACTGGAAACTCCAACTGGTGGAGGAGCATCTGCATCAAACTCACATTGAATTCTAGAGTCAATCTCAATGGAATTCTTTCTTCTGTGCCGAAACTTGTTACCAGCTGTTCTCTGCAAGGATTGGAAAAAAAAGAAAAAGAAATAAGTCAGACAGGCTGATCCTTTTAACTACATGGAATATTACCATATTCAACTTTCCTTAGAGTTTCTCAAGTTGTTCATAGGATAGGCCAATTAGAGTCTGGAGGTTACATGACATTTGTTTTTTTAACAAACATATTGTACATTGATAAGTACTTTTTTTGTGGGGGGGTTGCAATGGAGCAGAAGACCAACCAGCAAAAAATAAACAACCAACCTGGGCCTAGCAAGGTCTTTCTTATCCTCATCTAAACTACCCATCAAACATTCAAAAGTAGCAACTATGTGACATGATAAGTTGCTTTTCGCATAGGACTGTTCTAAAGAGCTTAAGGTATTAATATGTGGACTACTGTTATATTCTAACACTTCTCCTTCAGTGTATGTTTCTCCCCACCACTAGAGAGACTAACATGTGGAATTCAACATAAACTGAGAGGTTGTAGTTGGAGAAATTTGAACTCAAGATCTGCTGCTATGATACCATAATTTATTGGTTTACCAATGTACTAAAAGCTCAAACTATTAGGTTGTTATGGAACTACTGCTTTTTATTCTAACATATGAGATACACACACACCAAAGAATTTAACAGCTTCACTGCATCACTAGTGTAAATTATATAGTCTGACCAAGAAATGTACTTTTTCCACAATGGGAAAAATCTTTTCACCATCCCTAAAAAGTTTGTGTTCATTATAAAGATATGTTCACAATTCCTACATAATAAACGAGTTAAAGCTATAATCTCTAAACACCGGAATAAAAAATTCTACATTTGCGAGAGCAATTAGCAGCAAGTTTCACCACTTAGTTTTATTTGTGTACAAACTCTAACTACACAACTCCAACAGAGCCTATAACTAGTAACAAAAAGAGAAACTGTGATGAAACCAAAATAATAACCTCTACCTCCCCTGTTCCCTACATTTTGCTTTTGTCATGGACAGACTCAAACTACATAAACCCAAAGAGCCTGTAACTAGTAACAGAAAGCCTTGAACTTGATAGATCCAAATAAAAAGCCTCAATACCTTCCGTTTTACAAAACTGGACTTTACTTAGGGTGGATGACACACATCCTATATTGCCATACTCTCAAGCTTTACTTACACAAGATCTACCCAAGAAACCCAGCTATCTCCAAGCATGTGAGAGTGGCTCTAGACAACATAAGAAAAAATTCTGTACTATTTTCATATGAGTAACTAAGATGCATACACTAAATTAAATTCTCAAACACAAATCAAATAACCATGGAGCACATCTATATGTTTGGATAATGTGAGAATATTCCAGAAGATTTCAAATAAGATTAAGAAAAAAGTGATTGATTCTTTATCCAACCTTGCAAGACACCAGATAAACAACTATAAATAAGAAGCATAAGATGTCTAAGACTAGTATTGGAATGATAAGGTACCCACATTTTCATCTCTCTCTGAAGACTGTGACTTTTCTGATTTCTTTAAGCCAACCAATGCCTTAATCCATTTTCCAGAGACACCCATGGTGCAGTCACTTTAGCTCAACCAAATATACACCTGCCAGGGGAAAGTTTTAACGAACTAGAAAGTACACATATAATAAGTTATTATTGACTAAAATATTATTTAGCAGCCAACAAGTAAAAACAGGAAGAAAAAAAAATTGACCCAAAGGATTCAAATCTAAAATTGCACAAAGTCAAGAGACAACAAATGCTCCATCCCCCGGCCTCTCACCTATCAGTACTGACCTCCAACCAAGGAACTACTGCTACCATAGAACAGTCACTTCAGTAAACATGAATATACCAGGAACACCAACCAAAAACTCCAGGCAACCTCCTCATGTCGTGGACACTTCAAAAGATCAAATATCTATATAAAAAAAATTATTAAAAATAGATAGAAACTTCAAACCAATGCGGAACCAGGTGACCACACATATGACACGAATCAAAGTGGACAACAAGAACTATTTTTATCATCGGTCCATAAAGATAAAAGGTTCTGAAAATGGAAGTTAAGCCCAACTATGGCGATGTGAAATATCCTTAGACCCATATGCAAGCAATATTACACTATAGAAAATGATAATGGAACTTAACAAAGTTACATCATATATACAGATCCTGTAACTTCTACAGCCAAGAGTCCAAGACTAAATGTACTTGTTAACAAAATTCACAATTTCTGAACCAAATTGCTTAACTATTACTTCCTCCATGAATTATATAGGAACAGTAAAAGAACTTCAGAGAATTCAATTAAAACGCCAAGAAGCTCAAAAACGCTCACGAAATCACAGATAGCCAACCATTTTCATCAAACTAACATCTTTACTGCAAACCAATTGATAGTTCAACGCCCCAACTGCATAAAACCTTAACAACCCAAATTGGGATCAACCAAAGCCATTTTGAAGACCTACTAAGCACCCCACTAAAACCCAAGTTCAGTCCCTCAATTTCTAAAGACCCAAATTCCAACTTTTCTAACAAATTTGAACAAAACCCTCGAAACAAAAACAAAAAATCCCAAAAAAGGAACAAAGCTTGAAATGTAGTACTGATAAAAGAACAAAAACTTACAAAGAATTGTGCAATTAAACCATGCAGATCCACCTATCACGATCTTAAGAAGCCCAATTCACCTGCAAGGCGGAAACTTCAACACACACAAGTAGAGAGAGACCAGTAAAGAAAGAGTAAGCTGTTTGAATAATGGGAGAAAAGTGGTAAACACCTTTGATATATCAATGGGTCAAATTAGTCAAAACTTCTCTTTTTGGAGTATTTTTTCACCAAAATTCAGCTTTTGTAGCAACAGTTTTTATTTTGCTTTCATTCAAAAGCTCTCCAGTTTGTGAGCCAAATGTGATAAAAAAGGGCCGGCAGGGAGTGAGGACCGGTCTCGGCTAATGTGCACCGGGAGGTTATTAGAACCTTTTCGGGCATACGGCGTCGTATTAGTTAGTGAAGGAAGGATCGTGTCCTTGTCGCGCATGAGGCCACAGAGTGACAGAGTCAATCACGGGACGAATGCAAACCCCACCCCTACCGAATCTATTGATTGGTTGAGCCCACGTTTACCGGCTTTTTTGCCCGTGCGCACTTTAGCATTCACCTCGCATCAGGTGAAAAAGCAATCCATTATGATTAAATTCTGTTTTTTTTTTAATACAAATGGTAGTCTAAATTATAACAGAGCATTTGAATGAGGAAATTTTAAAACGTACAAAGGTTTTCATAAATGAAGAAAATTAGTGTTCTAGAATTTGTTAAGTTTCTTATTTGGATGACGAATTTAAAACACGGAATTTAACCTTTATTTGTAAAGTTATCTTTTTTAAAATTCAATCTCTCTTGAGATTTTAGAAATAACGACTTCTAGATAGAATTTAAGGGGGGTGTATTCAATTGAGATTTTAAAATACTATTGAGGGATAAAAAAAGTCTTGTAGATTTAAGCAAAATATAATTACTTATAGGATTTTTTTAATGGATTTCTATAATCAAGATTTTTTACTTATAGATTTTAAAGATTTCTATTACAATATTTATAATATTTGAAAGGACTACATAAATTTCTTCCGGGTCGACATAAGATTTGTTTAGGAAAAATAGACCTTTAAAATGAAACGCTAATATTATTTCTATCTCTTCACGGTGAGGATGAGGATGAGGATGAGTATAAGTCAGCTTAATTCTGTTAAAAAGATGCTCGTGTACTTCGTACCTCAAATGTCTATATCCATTACTACATTTTTTGCAAGGACAAAAGATCTTAGAATCATCCGGCTTAACATGGTTGTATGAATAATTAAAAAAACTTTCAACTCCTTCAAAATAATCTTCTGACAACCTCCCAGATTGCATCCAAGATTTATTAATAGGCATTTCTCTACATAAATAAGCTCCAATTAATGTTAATAGAACAAATTACTAGAAATTCAGATATGAAAACTATATCAGGGACATCAAAATGAAAGTCACATTTATTATTGTGTCTCTGTACTATTATCAGGGAACTGGCATAGAATAGATAATCGCTTAGAAAAAAAGCTAGAACCCATATAGCTGTAAGAGAAAATAATATTATTTCAATGAATATAAGTTTACAAAGGAACCTTTCCCTATTGAGACAGAATATATTCATAGGCTCTTTGAGGTATAGGAAGTGGTGTGTGGAATTGAGAACAAGCATTCTATCCTGTACATTCTAAACAACGAGTTAGTTGTTGCATCCTCTTTACTCTGTACATTTTTAAAAAGCAACAGTTTAAGAAGTTTTCCTCTTTGCTTTTTGGTTCCATGAAACCATGAAACCCAAGTTGCATATAAACATTTTATATTTTTCAAAAACTAGTTTACAATTTTACTCAATGATCATATTTCCTTTCTCCACGTTATATCTATAAGGAGGTAATTTTTGGGCATGTTTCCCCCCAACCTCGCACTTTTTTTGGTCTGAGTAAATTAGCTACATTTTTATTATTATTGATCTTCTGATATTTGCAATGGCTTCTTCATGAGTGGAAGGTGGTCAAGTCAATTACTTGGCCAAGATCACTTTTGTTTATTTTCTTCCCCACTCAAGATTGAATGGCAAAAAGACAAATTGGTTTTAATACACTCACGTCAATTACATACATTGGTTGTGCAATCTCTGTATTAGACTTGTCAATGGTTTTTTTAGATTTTCAAATGCTCTTTGACACATAATATAAAGTGGGACTTGTAGATACACAAATCGAAGTATCTAAAAGTATAGTAGTTCGATTCTTTTACTTGACATGTCTATCGATATCCAATGAGATATCATGCAATAAGTTCATTCGATTTTGATCCATCAATGGTTTCTTTAGATTCTCAAATACTAGTTGCTCACAAGTTCTTCCGATTAATAATTATATCAAATTATCAAATAACATAAAATAGTTTGATTTCCCTCATCATCATATCAGAAGAATTAAGTGAAATTAGTTCGATTTTCAAATATATGATATTTCTTCACAGGATTTAACTCTTTCAAGGGCTCTATGTATTACTGAACTACAACATAATCAAGCATGTTTTGTACAAGTTACAACACATCACCAGGAGAACAATATATATAATTAAAAAACCAAATTATAAAATGAAAACTAATAGCAAGCAATAATTTTTTGACATGTCACAACCAAACTCTAAATCTATCTCAAAATAATTATGTTGTAGAACGGAGAAGGATTTAGTCATGCTCAGCTATTAATTGTCCCTTTCTACTATGAAGATTGAAAAGATGAAGTACAAGAAATAATTCTTAAAGGCATTGTGGCATATGATATCTCATTAATTTATTATGTTATGTAAATAAATTTTCTTAAATTTTCAGAAAAGGTGTTGTGGCACTTTCTTATATTTTCTTAACTGAGTTTATTTACATAACATAATATATTAAACATATTTGCAATATTAAACTGCCGCTTGCCCCAAAAAAGGTGGGGAGAAAGTTACCATTAATTATTCTTTTACTGCTTAAGCCATTTTTTTCATTTGGGTTTTTTACTAACCCTAACCTTTCATATGCCGTATTAGTCTTGAGCAGCACTCACAAAAGAGAAAACATAAACATCCATAGGTCTTCAGCAGCAGCCACAAAAGATAAAAAAAAAAAAAACCTCCATGCTTCTTCAACAACATCAGTAAAGAATCGCATACAAGTAACCTACTACAAAGAAGCCAATAGCCTACTTTGGATTGTCTGTATGCTTGGAATTCTTTGTATGCTTAGGATTAGGGATGGCAACGTGTCGAGTAGGGGCCGGGTATGACAATACCATTCCCGTCCCTGCTTTCCATCCCCGCCCCTGTCCTCGAACCCATCCCCATTTAATAGGTTTCAGGGAATTCCCATCCCCATTCCCCGTCGGGGTACTATTTCTATCCCCCATACCTACCTCGAATCCATGATTTTTTTTTTTTGCATAAAAAAAATTTATCATACGTTTTAACATTAAGTTTCATATTAATTTATCATTCAATACATCCAAATTAACTATAAAGTTCAACTCAACTACTCAAATCACTTTAATGTGAAATTCTAAAGAAGATTAGAAAGAATTGGGAGAGTAAGGTTAACTTATGGTTAAACATAAATATTATAATTATATATATTTATTTAATATAAACATATATATTTTCGGGTTGGATTCGGGGATGGGGATACAAATACATCCCTTCCCCATACCCATCGGGGATTTTTCAAGTTCGGGAATCCCCGTACCTGATACCCATTTGGCCCCGAAATCTCCCCTCGTTAGGGTCGGGGATCCAATGGGGACCCGCCCTAGCGGGGATTTTTGTCATCCCCACTTAGGATTGCGTTTGGTATTTAAAAAAAATCTATTCGATATGGATATTGTTGATATTGTTGGCAACAGGCTATCAAACACAAAAGCAAAGAGGAATATCAAACACAATCCATGTTGATATTTCTGGGGCAACATTTTTTTTTTACTGGCAACATATTTTTTAAATACCATTATGTAGTTATAATCCTAGATTGTGTTTAACTAAAGAAGCCATTATGTAGTTTAACTACTAAAGAAGCCATTATGTAGTTATAATTCTAGACTGGAAAGGGATAATTTGTACTGGCTTTGTTCATCTGAAACATTTTATTCTTTTTCCTTTTTGGATGGATAATTTTTTTAAGTACTATTTCTGATTTATGTTTGTTTTTAATTATGACATGGGTTCTTTTGTGATTATAAATGGCAGCCATGGCAAAAAGGAGAAAGAGTCAAGATAGAGCATTAGGCACTGCACATCGTTAGTCGTCTAGACTCTCCTTAGACCGCCATATTTCCAATGAGTCATCACATGATAACGAAATGCAGGAAACATGTATGAGTTGTTTGCCCTGTCATTATAAAGTTAAATTCTTTTTTTGAATTTTTGTTGGTATATATATACATATTTCAATTATATGATTACCATCAAATGGAGACCCCATTGAGTCATCACATGATAATTAAATGGAAGACATCTTTCTCGAAACTGAAGAAAGTAATTTATTTATTTATTTATATATATATGAGGTTTAAAATATATATACACACATTTGTAAATATCCGTAATTTTATTTTATTAGATTCAACTGCTGCAACAAAAAAAAGGTAGAGGGAAGGCTAAAGGTAAAGATGGAAATGGCACTCCAATTGTAATACGTAGAGGAATCTAATATATAAGGCCTGCAAAGTTAGCCATTTCTTGCGCAAATTCATTTTATTTATTTATTTAAATTTGGTTTAAATTTTCAGGATTATAACCACTGGAGCTGTGCAAACTATATAAGTGCTTTTCAATCAGGTTATCGATGGAGCATGGCCAACATTTAAAAATTTTCCATAAACTCAAATGACTTTACTGTATGATCGCTTTAATGGAACATGATATACACACACATGCTCAGAAGAAGAGATGAGGGCTGCATTCGAACTACATATTAAATTGCGATATTTCGATTGGATGTCCGAATTGAGAAATTGCATTTTTAAGAAGTACAAGAATACTGGTGATAGATACACTCATTGCCCATTAAGGATATCTCAAGATGTTTGGTCTAAATTGGTTGACCATTGGTTGCAGACTACATGGCAGGTAAAAACTCAATTTAAAATAATATTGTTATGATTGGCTAGTGTATGCTTTGGTTTATTTGTAGATGCCATATATGGGTTCACTAAGTTGATATTAGGTTATGATGATTTACTTTTTTTCATGTAGGATAAAAGTAAAAGAAACAAGTCTAATAGAGCGAAATACACAATTGTGCATACCACAGGTTTTGTTCCAATGGAAAAGTATAGAAAAGATGAGGTAAAAATA